ACGCCTTTAGTCCCAGCACTCGGGAGGCAGAGGCAGGGGGAGCTCTGTGAGTTCAAGGCCAGCCTGGTCTACATAGCGAGTTCCAGGACAGCTGGGGATACAGGGAGACCCTGTCTCAAAAAATACCAAAAAACAAAATAAAACAAAACAAAACAAAACAAAAATAATGTGCAGGATATAAAGAGATCAAAAACAAAACATCTGCTACCCTAGGCTGAGTGAGATTAGATAGGCTTGAAGAACCTGTTTCAAAAGAAAATATTAGATAGTACTTAAAATTTTTATTATATTTGATTTATTAATTGTGGAGGGAAGGGTGTATAGAGTTCAGAGAACAGCCTGTGGGAGTTGGTTTTCTCCTTCTACCTTGTGGATTCCAGGGATTGAACTCTGGTCGCCAAGCTTGCAGCAAGCGCCTTTACCCACTGAGCCATCTGGCTGGCTTAAGATCTTACTTTTAAAATCCTATAAACTAGGATAAACTATAAACTAATCCTATAAGCTCAGTAGAGAGGCCTTGTCTAGCATGTGTGAGACTCTGGGTTCCATAACCAAGCTGAAAAAGAATGGTAAAGAGGTAGGGGAGGCAGGATAAAAACAGAAATATAGCCAGCTCTCATTACTATCTGGGTGCAGTAGCCTATGCCTATATCTCAACTACTTACCAGGCTGAGGCAAGAGGATTAACCCCAGAGTTCATGACTAGCCTAAGCAATATGATAAAATCCAATCTCAAGAGAAATAAAAATAATTAGACTCCTACAAGCTAGAAAAGTCTAGAAGTAGCCCACAGACCAGGCTAAAGAGAGCAGAGGTATTAAGAACTCTGGATCAGGAATCAGAACACCTGGCCTATCCAGGGGCCTCCTACCTCCCTTGGGGATGTCCAATTTCTTCCACATAAGAAGACAGAGCTCTGACTCTGTTACTAAGTGTGTGGTTTTCAACAACCTCCTTTCAGTCGGGATTCAGATTCATCAGTAAAAATAAAGGTATCCTTCTCATTGGACTATTTTAAGGATGAAGGGGTTTATGGAAAACAGTGTTGTACTGGGGTGTTTCAATGGCTAGGGAGTATTGGCTGTGGCTGTTACTGTTCTAGTAGCTTCTTATTGCAAGCCAGAGGGACAGGCTCGGCTCCCTCTTTTACCTGTTCTCTTACCCCAACCAATGGCAGCTTCTACTTGGTTATTTTTACTGTTTTGTCTATTTTCTAGAAGGTGGCAAAAATGTCTGAGGACCATAGGTGATTTTTATTAATGCAGGAAGGCCTAGTTCTCCTCTCCTGTTAAGTCAAGAATTGCTGTACTAATTTAAGCAGATTCTTTCCAGATTAACACCAAGTTGAGGCTTTATCACACAGTGACCAAGCCATTTGGTGCTGTGCAAAATAGTTCTAAACACAGGCTCACACTTCTGGAAGACCACTTACTGTCTCCCTTCCCTGGGGTGCATCTTCCTGGTTGTGGGATCATGAATGACTTCCGGTAAAGGCCAGTGAAGCATGTGGTTGCTGAAGGCTGCTCTCCTTCCCTCACCATTCAGAAGTCACAAGTCCAAGGTGTTGACAGGGTCACGCTTCTCCCAAACCTGTAGAGGAGGCTCCTTGGCTTTCTGAGCTTCATGGCTGTAGCTATGTTCTGGCTGGTCACAGCTTCCCCTCAACCTCTGCTTCCTCTTTACCTTCTCACAGCTCTCCATCGCCTCACATGGCACTCTTGAAGAAAAAAAACACCAGACCAGCCCTCGGATTAAGGGCATCTTATTCCAGTGTGACCACATCTTCACTACTCATACCTGCAACAACCTATGTCCAAATAACATTGCATTCTGAGGTCCTAGAGGACTGAGACTGCAACGTATCTTTTTCTAAGTATACAATTCAACCCATAACAAGACAGGTCAGCTCTCACCTCCCTCCAGTGCATCCTTAAATTCTAATCTCAGAATTTGCCACTGGTGGTCCCTGATCTAAGAAACCATTCAAAGTCAAGGCTTGTAAGAACTAAGTGGGAGCTGAAGTGATGACTCAGCAGTTAAGAGTACTGGTTGCTCTTCCAGGGGACCCAGGTTCAGTTCCCAGCACCCACATGGCAGCTAACAACTTCTCATACTCCAGTTCCAGGGGATCAAACATCCTCTTCTGACCTTTGGGGCACTGCATGCACATGTTGCACTTACATGCAGAAAACACACACACATAAAACTAAATAAAATATAACAAAAGTTTTCTTGTTGTTGTTTTTTTTTTTTTAAAGAAGTAAGTTGTGTGGGGCTGGAGAGATGGCTCAGCTGGCTCAGTGGTTCAGAGTACTGACTGCCCCTGCAGACCTGGGTTTGATTCCCAGCACCCACATGGCAGTTAACAACTATCTGAAACTCCAGTTCCAGGGGAATCTGATGCTCTCTTCTGACCTCTGTGAGCATTGCATGACATGGTTGCACTTACATGCATGCAGGCAACACACCCATACCCATAAAGTAAAAATAATAAAAAATAAAATATTAAAAGAGACATAAATTGTAATAGATCAGAGCCCAACACAAGATCCTGGGAAATGAATACATGCACTTGTGGTTAACCCTCACCGTCAGCTCACCTGGATTTTGTGGGACCTAAGAGTCTGAGTGCATCTGTGGCAGTGTTTCCAGGGGGTTAGCAGAAAGGAGGACACCCACCCTGAAGGCAGGTGGCATCATCCCCAGGGGCCCTGTGGGGGTTCAGATGAAATAGAACATGATATAAAGGAGAAAGCTGACTGAGTGCCAACAAGCACTCCCTCTCTCTTCTTTTTGTCTCCTGTGATATAATCTCTCTCTCTCTCTTTCTCTCTCTTTATAAAATTGTTCTCTTCCTTCTTATAAAGATTTATTTAATTTTAATTATGTGTATGTGCCAGTGGGGGGTGGGGGGGTTGTGCACATGAGTGCAGGTGCCTGGGGAACCAGAAGAGGAAGCTGGACATCCTGGAGCTGGAGTTACAAGTGGTTGTAAGCTTCCCCACAAGGGTTCTGGAAACTGAACTCGGGTCCTCTGGAAGAGCATTTATGTGCTCTTAACCACTGTGCCATCACTCCAGCATGCCCTCCATTTTTTTTTAAACAGGGTCTCACTATGTAGCCCATGTTGGCCTTGAACTCACTCTCCTCCTGCCTCAGTCTTCCAAATACTAGGATTATAGGCATGTACCACAAGGCCTGGCTCAAATTTCCCTTTGCTTATAAGGACACCCTCTTATCTTGATGGGCTAAACCCTGTAAAATGGATCCAAAACAAGTCCTTCACTCTTTGTCAGGTATTTTGTCCCAGTGATGCTAGAGTAACTAATATGCCACATAAACACAATGCAAAAAAGTCTGCCTTTTTTGTCTGATTACAGCCCAGCAACAGACAAAAATCATTTCCTAAATAAAGAAAATTTGAGGGGTCCAAGATGAATAGGGGTTTACCTCACCAGAAGAGAGAGTTCAATTCAAAATAACTTATCAAATGCCAGCCTGGCAAGTCCCCTCTCCAATGTATGTAGCATTTGTGTGTAAATTTTTTCTTTTTTTTTTGAAAAAGGGTCACACCATCCAACTTACCCTCCTGCCTAAGCATCCTGAGTACTGGGATTATAGGAATGTGCCACAAGATCGGATTCACATTTTCTCTACTTATAAGGACATGAGTTACATGGTATTCTGATTAGCAGCCATGCTATCCAATACCTACATTCATCTTTGGATGTGGGCCTGCTCTAATGACCTCATCTTACTTGGTCGCCTGGGAAGACAGGGCCTTAAGTGAGGAATTACCTCTATAGGAATGGCTGTGAGGCATTTTCTTGATTGTTGAGTGATGTGGGAGGGCCAAGTCCATTGTGGACAGTGCCATCCCTAGGCAGGTGGTCCTGAGTTGTTTAAGAAAGCAGGCTGAGCACAGGCTAGAGGAGCAAGCCAGTAAGCAGTGTTCCTCCAGGGTCCCTGCTTCAGTTCCTGCCTTCAGGTTCCTGCCCTACTTAAGCTCCTGCCTCAGCTTCCTTAGTGATGGATTGATACTTGGAAAAGTAAGATGAAGTAAACCCTTTCCTACCTAAGTTAGTTTTAGTCAGTGTTTTATTATAGCACTGGAGAAGCAAACTAGGACAAGTTGCATTTCCAAATAAGATCAGATTCATGGGTCCCATGGTGGTTTGAATGAGAATGTCCCCCATAGGCTCCAAGTATTTGAACATTTTGTCCCCAGTTGGTGGTGCTGTTTTGGGAGGTTATAGGTCTTGCTGGAGAAGTATGTCACTAGGGGCAGACTTTGAGAGCCTTGCTAGATTTCCAGTAGTTCTCTGCTTCCTGTGCCTGCTGAAAAATGTGAGCTTCTGCTTTCTGCTCCTGCCACCATGCCATGATGGACTCTTAAGTCCTCTGGAAGCGTAAGCTCAAATCAACTCTTCCTTTTTAAGTTCCTGTGGTCATGGTGTTTTATTACAGCAACAGAAAAGTAACTAATACAGATCCTTTCAGGATCACTTGTTTCCACAAGGAACATACAAATGTCTCAGCTGCTTAGCAACACATTCATCAACAGTAGGCCACGTATATGACAGCAGTCCTCAGTGGTCCTTTAGGTTATAATGGAGCTAAAAAAGTCCTGTCACTAATGATGCCATTGCCATTGTAATGTCATAGCACAATGCATTGTTCATGTGTTTGTGGTGAT